CTGGGGGCTTTGGAACTAGAACAATGTTTGCCACCCACTCGGGGTAAATAACCGGGCGGATGTGCTCGATCGCCGCCATTTTCTTGACCTCCTCTCTAACAAACTCGCGGCGATCGGAGGATAGGTGTCGTGTCTTCTGCACGGCCGGTTTCGCTGCGGGATCGACGGCTAGCTTATGGCAAATGACCGATCGATCGATCCCGGGCATGTCCTCGGGTCCCCACGCAAAAATATCAGCATACTCCCTGAGTATGCTCAGAACCGCTGCTCGGAGCTCGGGGGTGAGGGCCCGGCCAATTTTGATCTTCCTATCCGGGCGGTCCTCGGATAGGGGAACTTCTTCTATCTCTTCGGAAGGTTCGGGTGCTCCTTCCGTTCTTTGGCCTCCTCTTTGGCTATAGTGTTCACCCGGGAAGACGGACCGGAATCGCGTCTGTTGACCGCTCGGGTGTAGCACTTCCGGGCGGACTGGACATCGCCACGGACCACGCCGACCCCATTGGGGGTGGGGAATTTCATGCAGAGATGGGGCATGGAAATTATCCCACCGATCTTCATGATGGCGGGTCGGCCTAGGATGATGTTGTGGACACAATGGAGGTTGACCACAACGAACTCAAGCTCTGTCTTGATCGACTTCGGGGGGGTGCCGATCTCGACCGGGAGAGTGATTTTGCCTTCGGGGTAAATGAGGGCCCCGGTAAATCCCGACAGTGGTACACCGACCGGAGTCAGCTCCTTCCTGTCGAGGCCAAGCTTCTCGAACACGTCCAAGTATAGGACGTTCACACTGCTACCCGTGTCCACCATGACCCTCTGGACGTCCGTTCCCTTGACGTCGATCGTGACCACGAGCGCTTCCATGCCGTGGTCGCCGCTGCTAGGTTGGTCCTCAAGGGTGAAGGTTATGGGCTCCATTTTTTGTCTTTTCCCGGTCTCTCGGGAATCCACGATCGCAACCGGGCAACCGTCCTCGGCTGGGAAGCGTCTTCTAAGCCACCAAATATGACATGGATGGTGGGCTTGCCGACCGGGCGACTGCTGGTCGGGGGATCAGGGTCCCATCGGTCTTCATGACGATCGTCCCTTCGATCGTCTCTTCGGTCCTGACCCGACCGATCGGAGCGGTGATGAACTCGCCTGTGATCCCTCCGATCGGTATTCCTCTTGGTTTCTTCTCTCTTCCCCACGCACTTGTCCAATTTCCCCAAGTTGAGCAAATCTTCCAGCAACTGGCGCAAGTGGGTACACTCCTCGGTGTCATGCCCAGCGCATCGATGGTAAGCACAATGCTTACTCTTATCAGGGCCGTCTCGATCGGGATGGGGGAGTTTGATGAGGTTGCAAGACTGGGCATACTGCATAGCCTCCGCTGCAGATCGGTTTAAGGCCGTAAACTCGCCATGCCTGGTGCGGGATCGGGGATGATCGTCTCCCGATCGATGTTCCGCCCGGCCGGCCGGTTTACGGGACGAAGAGCCGACCTCCTGCAGGCGCTTGACGGCATTCGCCTCACCTGCGTTGGCGTAATCAGTGACCCTTCGGAGGGCCTCCTCATATGTGGTCGGGGGGTGGAGGATAAAATCCTGGTACAGATACCCCGCCCGAAGGGAGATATGGAGCATGTGGGTGGCGGTCGCATCATCCATGGGTTCGACCTCTCCGACCGCCGCTTTCCACTTGATAAGGAAGTCGGTCAAGCTTTCCCCTTCCAACTGCTTGGCCTTCTCGAGGTACATGTAAGACTTCCTCACCACTTTGGAAGTAATGAACTTCCGTACAAACTTGATCGCCAGGGTCTCAAATTTGTCGATCGACCCCGGGGGCAAGGTGCGGAACCACTCTGCTGCCCGACCGGTGAGGGTTGAGTAGAAGGCCCTGCATATCACGGCGTCTGAAACGCCCTTCGGCATCATATTGCTGAAAAAATCATTCACGTGGGCCTCAGGGTCTGTCCGACCGTCGTAACTCTTCTCTCCCGAGACCTTCAAGTCGAGCGGGTAAGGCTGAGCCATTACCGCAGCCGTGAACGGCGTCTGGTGGAGGGTCGACCGGTCGACCGAGGGTGCTATAGGATATGCATTCCTGAGCTGCGCAACTTCGGCCTGGAGATTGTAGAGCAATCCTCGGGTCTCGTTGAGCTCGGCGTTCTGGGCGGCTTGGGCTGTATCCCGAGCGCGTCGACGTCGATGTGATCTCGACCCGCTGTACCCGGATGAAGCCTCGTGGCTAGCTTCCTGCATTTGTACGTCCTCTTGCCTGGGGTTCGGGTCTTGGGGTCCCAGACGCTGGCGCATCTCTGGTCGGAGACGGTCGAAAGCTACCGCTCGGGCAACCTCTTCCGGGTCCTCCGCTTGAACGGCCTGAACTGATGCCTCCATCGCATCAGCACCCCCCGACCCCAACCGCGAATGAGCCGAGCGTCGAGCCCGGGAAGTGGACTGACGCTGCGGCTCTACTTGTGCGGTTGGCTGTACTGGAGGGGCGGCGGCTGGAGCTGTATAGGCAGGCGCATATGGTGGATAGCCAACCGGGGAAGTGTAGCACATCGGTTGGCCTGGCCAAAGCCCGTATGGTGGAGGTGGAACCGGATACGGGTATTGGGGGGGATACATCATCGGCTGCTGCTGGTATGGCAGACCGGGTGGTGGGTATCCCGGTTGTATATAATTCACCGGCTGCTGGGCGGCCGGGTATGTATTTGACGGATGTGGCGGTGAGAGATTGAGGTTGAGGTCCATCGTCTGACCCTGCTGTTGGGTAGCATAGTGGTCGGAGGAGCTCGCCGCATCCGCCTGGTCGTCGGCGAAGTTGTTGTATGCCCACGGATACATGTTGGAAAAGAGACCGGGTGCTCGTCAAGACGTTGGCTTGTTGCACGGGTCCCCACAGACGGCGCCAAAATGATACTGCTAATTCTACGTAAGCAATACAAATAACACAAGACCAATTAAAGCAAGTAAAGTCTTTATTGATCAAGGTAGAGTTCCTAAGTACAATCTACTTGGTTGCTCTGAGTACCGACTGAGTGCGGTCGGGATCCTCTAATAACAACCTATCGATCGTCCAAAAGTCCTCTACACTGCAGCTACTGTGGGCATTTATAGCCGCTGTGCCGGAGACAAGCTTCCGGCCGTTCGGCATGCTCTCCACGTAGCCTCCACGCGTCCTCCTCCCGGGTGCCCTGCCTGTCGTCGTAGAAAGCCGCCACGTGTCTTTAGCCAGCTCTCTCGCCGAAGGACCACCGCTCGGGGTTCATAGCATCGCTCGGGCAACTCCCGGTCGGTCCCCGACCGGGTTCTCCTCAAGGAGCCCGACCTGTTACCTGCAAAGACATAGACAAAAGGACAAAGACCTCTCGGTCGTGGTGAAGCTATGTCGGTCGGGATATTCCCTACCAATTATAAAGAATTATGATTCGTTTTAACTCTCAAGAGGGAACATTTATACAAGAGGACTTGAAGTCTTAAAAAGAAGCTAATTTCTAAGATCCCTCGCATTAGGAGATCTTATTAGAGTGGAATGAATAATTGAAACATATTATGCAACGAATTGGTATAAAGTAATTTACTCTTGCCCAAACATTTTTTTGAAGAGTTAATTCCAGCAATGGTCCCTCGAGTATGGTGATTTTCCATAATTAGTCCTCGACTTTTAATTTGGACAATTTAACCCTCTGACTATTAAAATCTTTCCAATTGTGATCCTTCCGTCAAATCCTAGTTAAGTGAACATTAAATTGAGGGGTAAAAGCGTCATTTCTCCTAATATTTCATCTTCATTCCCATGTCGTTGCTGTATTTCCTCCCCCATTCGTGAGCTTGGCAAGACCATAGTCAAATAGTTTAGGATTAAAGTCTTCATCCAATCTGTCAATAGCATAGCCGATATATGATCGTGATAGCAGTTGTGGGGTGGTCAAATAACTTTGAAGTGTCTGGCAATCAGTATATAGCTTAATATTCTGTTCTCCACGGTCGTGTAACCAAGATAGGGCCTCCTTACATGCATATGCCTCGGCCATTAGTGGGGAAAAACAATGTGGCAAGGGTGCACTGTATGCCGAAATAAACTGACCACCTGGTCCCATTAATACCGCTCCTACAATAGCCGAATTGTCTGCATAATGATAGACCGCGTCGACATAACATTTGGGCGACAATTGTGTTGGAGCATGATGCATCATAGAGTGTTGGGCAGTGTGGCTCGCGTCTAATACTTGGTGCTATCCTTTGGCGCCCTGGGCAGTAGGCAGTAACGGTCCAAGCACATTGGTGCTCACTGGCATGGAACTCGCTACCCTCCTCGACGTGTCTCCATGTACGTGTCGCCATGCACCCAAATTGGCCTAGGCCGTGGCTAACAACTGTTTCGGTCGGGGCAAACACGCTCCTGCCCAAACTTATTTACATAGCTTGCTAGCCTTCTAGAATTTCCTATAACACCCGCAATTATATCATGGATCTGAGTCCAAAATACACAATTACATACTGAATATCCACAATTTGAATTGTGAACAATTAATATGTAAATTGTGTATTTTTAGACCATGTAAATTATGTATTTTTATACCAGGATCTACCTTGTAAGGTGGACTTGAGTCCACAGTATAATTTGTCGGCATAACGCACCCTAGCTGAAGCCCACAGTTCTGACTAATTGCCAACCGATTAGGCCTTAGTAGTTAGTACCTAGAGGCACTGCACATCCACATTACAGCAAATTATTGTGTGGATCATGGTCCACATAGCTTGAATACAATATACATTTTTAATATACTTAAAGTACATTCTTTGTGTACTAAATGTACATTATTTGATAATATATTTAAAATTATATATTTTTCAATAATATACTTTACGTATATAAATAATATACTTTTAATATATTAAAAATATACTTTTTATTTATGGTTCACACAAATGTGTAGACCATGGTCCATAGAATAATGATTGCCACATTTTCATGATTTGTCTAAATTAAAATACATTTATTTAATATAGGGATAAGAACTTGGGTAGTACTTATTCAAACTAATATAGTAATATCTAGAGCCCATAGAAGTTTGGGGGCAGGCGAGGCGTAACCACTAGCTGTAACGGCGTTGCTCGGGGCAGAGTGACTCCGAATCCCTCTTCCATGTCCAGTTCCACATTTCCAGGTGTGCTGAAATTGAAACCTTGAATCAATCGAGCAATGGTGAGATGCGAAATCTGCAACGCATACGCCATTCCTACACAGCTTCGTCTCCCACACCCGAAAGGCACATACTCAAACCGTTTCAGTGGATTATCCGCCCCGCCCGCTTCCCTGTTCAGGAATCTCTTCGGCATGAATTTGTCGGGTTCCGGCCAGAATTTCGGGTCTCGCATGATTTTCCACAGGTTAACGTTGAACTGGGCACCTTTTGGGAGGTCGTAACCTCCGATCTTGCAATCTTTGGATGTCATTCTCGGCATTAAGAGCGGAACTGTGGGATATAGGCGTAGCGATTCTTTCACGACGGCCTGCAGGTATTCTAGCTTTTTAACATCGGAATCTTCCACCCATCTCTCTGTGCCCACTTGCGCTTCTATCTCTTCCCGGCAACGCTTCATTACATCGCCGTACTTCACTAGTAAGGATAGTGCCCATACCATATGAGTCCCGGTTGTATCCGACCCATCTATGATCATACTCTGCAAAATTCAAGCATAGAGTTGAACGGTTACTAAATCAACGGCTTGATTGGGTTGGTCAAAGTTATATTATACTTTTGGTAAATAGTTATTAGTTGATTGAGTTAGTGAGTTTGACTAGTTGATAATTGATTATAAAAATGTTTGGTAAATGTTAATTAATATCTGATTATATATAATGGTATCCAGGTTAGACTTCTATTTGGAAGATTGTGAGTTTGAGCCTCTAAAATAATTTTTTCAAAAAGCTGAACAGTTTTTTGAATTTTAAGGTTTTGGAGCACTGAAATGTTAGGTCCCATTTGGTTCGAGGAAATATTGGAAGAGAAATGAAATTGAAATTCCATGAAAAAGAAATTATCGAGTTCAAATCCTGTCTCCGCAACATCGTTTTTTGCCAAACAATTTGAGGTTTGACTCATTTCACTAGTAATGAAATAACACACCGTTTTGGGGTTGGAAATATTTGAAGGGAAATGAAATTGAAATTCCATGAAAAAGAAATTATCGGGAAGATTAATTACATTGTTTGGTTTGGTGGAAAATAAATTACTTGGAATATTATTCCATTGTTTGATTGAGTTTTGAACTGTAAGGAATAATGAGTATAAAGATAATTATACCCCTACATAACAACAACAACAACAATAATAATAGTAATTAAGAAAAGTTAGTGAGGACATAATTGTCCTACTTGTTTTTCATGAAAAACATTTTTCATGAAAAACAAAATACCAAGAGGGACCATGAAAAATGTTTTCCTCATTTTTGAGGAAAATGTTTTCCAATGAAAAATATTTTCCATGAACCAAACCAAGAAAAATCCATTTTTCTTCAAATTTAAGGAAAATATTTTCCATGAACCAAACATGCTCTTACGGAAAGTTAATTAATCAAACACTTATATTGATTATTTAACAAGTCAACAGTTTGATTTAATAAACAAAAGTTGGTTAATAAGTTAACTATGTTACCAAATAAGGCTTATACATACCTGGGTTGTACCCTTGATAGCCATTTGATGGGTATAGGGAAAACCTTTAACGAATTCCTTGTCGATGGTTGAAAGCATGAGGTGGATCAAGTCCAGATCATTTCCGGCCGCCGGTGCCGGAGCATTCCCCAACTGCCGTCTCTCAATATGTTGGTCAATCCAGGCTTGAAGAATCTTATCAACCTTTTTATTGTTACGCTTCATGGCCCTAACATGACCTTGGAAATCAAACCACTTAAACAGCCGCAATGGAAAAGCATCCTGGAGAACAAACATCCCGCTTAGATATTGGAATTCCCGAAAAACATTAATCATTTCTTGCGCCTCTTTATACTCCGTGCTGTCGTCGTCGCCGATGGCTCCTCCGACCTTAAACTTGTACCTGTAAGAATTTTTCATATGGTATAATATTATTTAAGCGTTTGTGATGCAAGTATGTGACTGAGTCAATAAGTGATTTAATTAACTTGAATATTCAGTTTGGTTTTATGACGCTTAGGCTTCTAAGTAAAAACAATTCTCCCACAACTCTTATAGACAGAATAAACTACACCAGTCCTCACGGGTTTAGCTCATTAGTTCAGTAAGTAGTATTTAAGAGAATAATAAACTACATCATCTAGTATTTAAGAGAAGTGATAGACAAACGGATCTACCATCCCAATGGTGATACCAATTATGGAGAGTGATACTCCGATTATCCTGAAGCTTCCGATACTCCTAGTTAGTTAAGTTTCGCTAAAGTTTATGTTAATATATATTAATGTCAAACACGCCCAGGGGTATAGTTTAGTGGTCGAAAGTCTAAGTGTAAAGGTATAGTGGCCCAAGTTGACTCATGATCGAATCCCTCATTGCGAAACACATTTCACAATTTACCTTTCCTCAGAAAATTTAAGGACATAAATTAAACGTGAGTGGTCCTTAAGTTTGAGATTCGAATTTATATATATTAATATAATATGAGTAAATATCAATTTTGGTCCTATGAGTATTAGCAAAATGACAGTTTTAGTTCACATGTTTAATTCCTACCAATTTTCATTCACGACTATTATTTTAGTATCAATTTTTATCCACGACTATTGTTTTAGTGCTAAAATTCTTCATGCCGGTCACTCTCCGTTTACACGTCGAAATCTAAAAATTTTAAGGGTGTTTTTGTCATTTTCAACTTAAGATCTCAATTTGAGCATGAATAAATAGATTTAAGCCCTAAGATTGATCTCAATTCACAGTTCTTCATCCCATCCTACCTTAATTTGATGAGGAGAACTGTGAATTGAAATTGATCTTAGAACTTAAAATCTCTTTATTCATGCTTCATTTGGAATCTTAATTTGAAAAGGACAAAAATACCATTAATAATTTCATATTTCGACATGTCTTAAATGAAGGGTGATCGGCGTGATGAATTTTGACACTAAAATAATAGCTGTGATGAAAATTGATACTAAAACAATAGTTATGGGTAGGAATTTAACATGTATATCAAAACTGTCATTTTGTTAATACTGTGGTGAGACCAAAATTAGTATTTGTTCTATTAATATCTAACCGTACCTCCTCCCGGCGACGATCCGACAACTGGTGTTCAACGTCAACTGTGCTATCCACTCATCCATGGCGACAACCGCCGCCTTATTCGGTTCAGGAGAAGCAGTGACGAAAAGGTACAACTCTTTGATGCTGGTCTCCAGCTCCGACATGCGGATATGCTTCACCTTGTCGAGTTTAACGTTGGACAGAAGCTCTGACACGACAAACTTGCGCATCACGCGCCAGTACGCATTGTCGGAGCTGAAACTAAACATGGCGTAGTTGTAACCGAGGTGTTCGCCGACGGCGAACTCCGGCTTGGACGCCACGTCTCGCTCGTGTGTGGTGAAGCAATCCTTGGCGGCTTCCAGACCGCAGATCATGGCTATGGGAGTCATCCCTGACCGCACGATGAACAGCGGGCCGTGCTTATCCGCCATCTCTCCCAAAGTCCGGGAGAGAATCTGGTTTTGGCTGTTGAGGATGGGAATGTGGCCGATGATCGGAAGAGCACCGGCGGCCACTGGGGGTAATAACAGGTTTCTGTTCTTATTATTTATTCTGATGTATAGTAAAACGAAGAAGATGAAGCCTGCAAGACATGAGAGGAGATGAAAAAGATCCATGGATGGATGAGTATGTAATTGAGTGTAGCTAATAGCGCTAGGCCGGTAATATAATGGCGCTACAATTCAACTTGCTTTATATAGAGATTATTTATTATTTATATATGGACCGTCATGATCATATATTCCATCAATCGTGTGTAACTCAAGATTAAATTAAAGTTTTAGTACATGTACTTCTAAATCTTATTATAATTTCTTAATTTTACTCTATGATGTGGCGAGTTTTGATAAATTATATTTTTTTATGTGGGTCACAATATAACTGTTTACATCAAGATTTTGTGTGTGAGAGTAAAAGTTATGAGTAAAAAATGGGAGTACACATAACAATTTTCTTTAAATAAAGGAATAAGGGTGATGTGCGGGAGATTATATTCTGAATGATGATATTTTCGAGGGGGGGGGGGGGGGGGGGTGGGGGGTTGGATGGGGCCTTTCCTCCCATTATTACTACTCTTAGTTAGATTTGGGGTCTCCCGCTCCAACTCAAAGAAAATTAAAGAATAAGGGTGCATTTGTAAAGCATGAAAATGACTTATGAAAAATATTTTTTAGAAAATAAGTCATTTTCTAGCAAACATTTTTCTTTCTGCTGTTTGATTGCATTTTGAAGAACTTGGTGTGTTTGGTTTATTTTCTGAAAAATGAGTAGAATTGTATAATTAAACATTTTTGCGGAAAATGATTTACGCCAAATTTTGGCATAAGTCATTTTTCACCGAAATGATTTCATTTTCCCAGTCAATGGAAAATGTTTTCCGTTGACTAGATTTTCATATTGCATCCAAACACTGAAAATTCAAAAAACATTTTCCAAAAGTCATTTTACGAGTTTCCAAACGGACCCTAAAATTTAAATAGGTTTCCGGCCTCCGTCTCTGCAGCACAGACATCTTCGTTGCACCTTTCCAGATGCTATTTCGACCCCAGCTACCAGCCGTCAACCGGGAGAGCCACGTTCGGAGCAATGCTACTATCACCAGACGGAGTATTCACGGCGGCTTGAAACGGAAAACTTCCAGGTTGCTTTTCACCTCTCATATTGGCGGAGTCCCTAGCTTGCAAGGAGGTATTGTCTTGGCTCAAGGACCGTGGAGTATTGTCAGTCAAACTCTACACCGGCTGTTTGGAATTACGTAGGTACTTATCCCCCTCACAGCCGGCGACGCGTTCTTATGTGGGCTTGGTTGTTGATGAGTGCATGTATGGTGTCTTTATTTGCTTTTAATTTACTCAGTTTTATATTAGTTTAGTGCCAAAGTGCGGCTAATTTACTTGCGCATACTCTTGCTTTATCGGCCTCTACTCAGGCTAACACTTTGTATTGGAACGGTGTCCCTTCTGACTCTATTTCTGCTTTATTATAATATGCATACCATATTCCTTTTAAAAAAGTTATCAAACTCTACACGAAAGTGCAATTGGACCACCAAACTAAAAAAATTGCAATTGAGCCCCTAAAGAATACCAAATCATGCAATTAACCTAAAGTGACATGTTTAGCTATTGATTGCTGATTTGACGGTTATCGGATTAAAAAAATTAAATTTTATTTTAATAATTTTAAATAATTTTTTAATTTAAAAATCACCCCTCCCCCGACCTCTGTCTCCAGATTGCCTGGGATAAAGAACCGGTCTTCGTCTCCAACAGCCTAGAAACAAAGAAGGTTTCTTTGTCTCCGATCTGGAGACGAAGGCCTGGGGATGGGTGATTTTTTTTTAATTATTAAAATAAATTTTAAAAATTATTTTAAATCCGGTAATCGTCACGTAACAATTAATGAGTTAACGGGTCAATTTCGATTCAATTATATTATTTTGTGTTGTTCAGGAACCTAAATACAATTTTTTAAAGTTTGGTGGTCTAATTACATTTTCGTGTGTAGTTCATTGCCTTATTTTACCCTTATTCTTTAAATATAAATTATATTTGATATCATTTTTTATGTTGTAACAATGATTAGTTGATATGACTAAGTGGCTTGTAGTCCACTGGTATCCAATTGGCCCCTTATGTGGGATGTCTTAGGTTCAAGCCTTGGTGAAGGCGTAGATAGTATATATGGGTGTCCTCCTTCCTTTGTAATACAAAAAAAATGATTAGTTGATATGCATGCCAGCTTGACATCACCCCATGGATCACGAAAGATGAAAATTCATATTCGGACAACCCAGTCAAGTTGGTTAAACTAGTTTTTATTTATTTTATTTTATTTTTTTGAAAATAACCAAGTCAAGTTTGTTAGACTATTGACTTGACAACAACATTTTCAGTTCCACACCTAGTGATCTTTTGCATGCTGACTAGAGTCACAAGGCGGAATTCTCATGTAAAAAATGCGGGAACTCACTGGCTAAGTGAAACTTTAAGTTTACAATATCTATAAAACTACTCCCTTCTCCCCCCCCCCCCCCAATCCCCCACCCCCCTGCTTTTTTTTTTTTTCTGTTTTTTTTTGGGGTAAGTTTTTCAATATTTAAGTTTTTCCTCTTATTTTCCAGCAACACTCTACCATTGATTTACATGCATGTGTTAATGAATGAGATTAGCGACACTTAATCATTAATTTACATGTACTGATCAATGAGATTAATTCACACTTTTTACTTAGGAACATGTTTCCATTAGAAGAATATAACAGCATCTATTATATATATTATTTTACAGTCAGTTTGATTCGCTGAAAAATATTTGAAGGGAAATGGAATTGAAATTTCATGGAAGAAAATTGATTCAATTGTTTGGTTTGTGGAAATGAAATTACTAGGAATATGTATTCCATTGTTTGTTTAGGTTTAAAAAGATAAGAAATAATGAATATAAAGAGCATTATACCCTTAAAAAAATGAATGAATAAATAGGTGCCTATGTAATTAAGAAACTTTCGCAAGGGTAAAACGGTACACTCATTTTATTTTTCTTTCCCATCCTTGTGGAAAACAAAATCCCACCCTTTTGCAAAGAATTCATTTTTCTCAACTTTGAGGAATTCATTTTTCAATGGAAAATGTTTTCCATCCAACCAAACAACATAAACCAACATTTTCCTTCACTTTTAAGAAAACATTTTCCATGAAAAATATTTTTCATCCAACCAAACACCCCTTACAGAATTATTAGGGTAAGGTTATGAGGGCCATGCATGCGATAGTGGGGACAAACAGAGATAAAAAATTGAGTTAATACTCAAAATCGTCCTCGACTATAGTGATTTTTCTCAATTTCGTCTTAAACGACTTTGGTGACCTAATATCGTCCCAGACTTTTGTGTTTCGCTCAATTTAGTCCCAACTTTTGTGGTTTTGCTCAATTTAGTCCCTCATTTGTTATTCTGTCCATTTGGTGTTAAATAAATAGACAATTCAGTAATTTTAATATTGACATCTCTTTACTCATAGACATGTGAAGTGCGAAATCTCTTTTTTTTTTACGAATTACTCCCAGAATTACTCCTAAAACTGCGAATATAAAATTTGATTTGCAGGTCCGGGAGTAATTCTGGATGTAATTCGTACAAGAAAGAGGAATTTCGCACTTCACAAGTTGAAAGTAAAGAGAGATCAATATTGACATTACTGAATTGTCACTTTATTTAACACCAATTTGACGGAATAACAAATGGAGGACTAAATTGAGCGAAACACAAAAATCTGGGACGATATTAGGTCACCAAAATCGTTTAGGACAAAATTGAGAAAAACCATTATAGTCGAGGACGATTTTAGGTATTAACTCATAAAAAATTGCAATATTATGTTCCATATCTTAGCTACATATACCTGTTCCATATTTAACACAATATCCTTCTCACTATACCAGAGTCATAGACATATATTAGCAAAAGCATGGATTAATATATGACTAAGCGTACAGGGAATCTGTCCACTTTGATATAATCTCCATGCTACCGTCACCAAAGTTCAATTCGAACCTTGATTTATATTCTCTCAAATACTGGCTACTGAACAATTGAGCTAAGCATGTGCGTGCGGTTGAATGACTTACTTGAATGCTCCAAGAGCTGCTGGGCTAGGCCGAATAAGAAGGCAAGGATAGCAGTATAGAGTTTATACACAGATAAATAATGTGAGCATCATATATCCTTAATAAGCAGTAGATCAAAATAAATTTGTGGTATACCAAAATAATAAAAAATAAATTTATATCAGGTTCATATATCTTGGAGTTATACTATATGTACTCTCAAATTATACTCCATTATTTTTAATTTACTCCATCCATGATGTGATAAATAAAGATATACTATTTTCATTATGTGGTCCCAGAAAAAGTGTATACGAAATTGAGAAAATGGAAGTCTACCAAGTATTACTTATATCTTGCTACATGGACATTTTCTTTTGGTGTATTCGGAGTTTTCACCGCCGAACACAGTGACTAATCCCTCGCTGAATTGTAGGCACCTCTTTTAGGTGGGACAGTTGTCCTGAAGATTTAATGATGCTCCATACCCAAAACCAAGTCTTTTTCTATATATGAAAATGCATAAAGTTGGTATAGTTGATTGACAAAACTACATTAATTAAGGGTGTGTTTGGTTCAAAAATATTAGAATCAAATACTTGGTAATGTGAATCAAATAATTTGTAATGTTGATAAATTTGGGTAGAAATAGACTCTTTGTTTGGTAGTAAATAAGAATTCAAATAAAAATTAATTAATTAATAAATAAATATAAAAAATATTATATATATATATATATATATATATATATATATATATATATATATATATATATATATATATATATACACACACACATATATGTGTATATATATTAAAGTTCCATATTTATTTAATGGACAATGACCCTTTTAATTTTAAAATTTTTTTTTCTCCTTATTTATGATTTCATTTTTCAAAACTACGGGAGGAAGATGGTAATGAGTTTCATAATTATTTAAAAATTTGAATCCAATAATAAGATAGCAAAAGTAGAAAAACATGATAATAAACATTAAATCTCATAATAGTGTACAAAAATCGGACCAACAAACACAACCTAAAAATAAA